TATTATTCACCTTAAACAGGGAGGAGATCCTGTCCTATCTGCAACATGGATAAGCCTCGGGGACACTGTGCTAAGTGAAACAAGCCAGTCACAAAGAGACAAAAGCAGTATGATTCCACTTACAGCAGACAGGTACTGATGTAGCCAAACGCACAGAAGCAAAGTTGAGGGCCAGCAGTCAGGGCCCGGGGAGGGGAGGGAGGTGGGGACTTGTTTAATGGGCAGAGTTTCAGTTTTGCATGGCCAGAAAGTGCTGGGGATCTGTCGGAAAACCATGTGAATATACTTAACGCTACTGAACTGAACACTTCAAAAAGGTGAGGAGGGAACCAGCAGTTAGCATAATGGCTATGTCGCTGGACTCCCACGTAGTCGACCGCGGTTCGTGTCCCGGACCCGGTGGCTTAAAACTCACGCTGGGCGCGTGTGCGTGCGTGCCCAAGATCCCGAGAGGAAAATGGAGGAGAAGGGATTGCGGCGTGACCATCCCCCCTGGGGGGGATTTCTCGCTTTCTGTCTCTATGTCTCTCTCTGTCTGTCTGGCAAGCGCACGTGCCCTACAGTGAAAATCTCTCCAAAAAAAAAAAAAAAAAAGGTGAGGACAGGAGCCAAAAAGGGCATGGAACTTAAGGTTCTGTATTCCCACACAGCTGACTGCATGGTTTGAGTCCCAGATCCGGTGGCTGGAAAATCACACCAGGCGTGTGTGTGTGTGTGTGTGCGTGTGTGTGTGCATGTGTGCCCAACATTCCAAGAGGAGAATGGAGAAGGGACTGCAGCATGGTCATCCCCCCAAGAGGTGGATTTGTCACTTCTCCTCTTTTCTCACTTTCCCTTTCTCTAGTGAACACACATGCTCTATAGCAAATTAAAAAAAAAAAGACAATAAATTTTAGTTTTGTGTTAACCACAATTAAAAATAAAAATAATTTTTAAAGACTTTACTGCAAATTTGGTTGTAAGTTCTTAAAAACAAAAACTATGCTGAAACTACTTCTTTTTCTAAAATAATTACTTTATTTATCTTTATTTATTTGATATTTTAATTTGACCAGAGAGAGAGAGAAAGAGAACATGAGAAAGCAAGCCACCAGGTCTGGGACTCGAACCACAGTCAGCCATGTGGGAGTCCAGTGCCCTAACCACCACGCCACCTGCTGGCCCTGAGACCACTTTTTAACCCGTCAGATGGGCAAAAATCCAAAAGTCTGGTCCACCCCCACAGTCCCGCTTTCAGTTCCATAAGCCCCTTCACAATCAGCCTGACCCAGGATAAGCCTTCCTTGCCCTTCAAGCGCTTAGCCCCACGACCCTGCCCACCTCCCAAAACCAAATGGGCAGTTGGAGGTAGCCCCAGTCAAGGCAGGAGTCTGCAGGGCGGGAGGGGACAAGGTCAGGCGAATGAAAGCTGCAAGTTCCCCTCCGTGAAGGCCTGAACGGTGCCCCCAGAACACCCATGTCAGATCTCTAGAACCTGAGTGCGTCCATACTTGGGGAAAAGTCTTGGCTGGTGTGATTAAACGAGGAATGCAAAAGGAAACCCTGGCTTACCAGAGAAACGATCTCAACTGATTAGGATATGGGAAACAGTACACTTACGCATTGCCAGGGGAGTACGAATCAGTACAATCCCTGTGAAAGGCAATTAGACAATATCTATGACATCTTCGGATTCGTCAAACCTACTTAGAGGAATTTAATCGTACAGATGCTCTGCATGCATGTGTGAAATTACACACACAGTTATGAACTGCAGCATCATTTACAAGAGGAAGACATGGGAACAACCAAACTGCCCATCACAAGGACTGCTTATATAAATAATAGTACCTTTGTACTATACAATCGTGCAGTTATTTAAGTGTCTATGTACTGATATAAAAAGAGATTCAACATATATTACAATGAAAACTTCAGAACACTATTAGCAGTTAGCGTAATGGCTATGTCGCTGGACTCCCACGTAGTCAACTGCGGTTCGCGTCCCGGACCCGGTGGCTTACACTCACGCCGGGCGTGTGTGCGTGTGTGCCCAAGATCCCAAGGGGAGAATGGAGGAGAAGGGATTGCAGCGTGGCCATCCCCCCTGGGGGGGTGATTTCTCGCTTTCTATCTTTCTGTCTCTCTCTGTGTCTGGCAAGTGCACGCGCCCTATAGCGAAAACCTCTGAAAAAAAAAAAAAAAAAGGAAAACTACAAATCCAATTAAACATTTATATTTTCTTATATCATATACATCAAGAAACTCTGGAAGGATGCATGGAAAAATAACAGTAGTGTTTTGCGGGACTGTGAAAAGGAACTGAACGGACAGGTACTGGCTAGAGTGGGCAGATTTTCACTGTATACATTTATATGCTTTGGTCTTGGAACCATGTAAATGTATCACCTATTTAAAAAATCCCTAAGCTGGGACCAGCAGTTAGTGTAATGGCTATGTTGCTGGACTCCCATGTAGTCAACCGTGGTTCTAGTCCCAGACTCGGTGGCTTAAACTCACGCCGGGCGCATGTGCGTGCGTGCCCAAGATCCCGAGAGGAGAATGGAGGAGAAGGGACTGCAGCGTGACCATCCCCCCTGGGGGGTGATTTCTCGCTTTCTGTCTCTATGTCTCTGTCTGTCTGTCTGGCGAGCGCATGCGCCCTATAGCAAAAAAATCTCTCCAAAAAAAAAAAGTATTTAAAAAAAAAAATCAAGTAATGCTTTTTTTTTTTTTTTTTTTTTAAGTATATCAGGGTAAATGAAAAAGGAACAAAGTAGTGGAAGTGAAAAGGTGGTCTTTAGTTAGGGCAGTCTGGGGAGACCTCTCTGAGGAAGAGGCATTTGGACAGAAAGCTGAAAGAAGGGAAACGAGATCTGACAATGTGAGGCTGTGGGGAGTCTTCTGGGTGGCAAGGCCCTAAGGCCTGATGTGTTTGAGAAAAGCAAAAACACCTGTCGCTGGGCAAGGCGACCAAGAACCACGGTGGGCGAGGCTGTAAGACATGCCCCAAAGCGGAATCACACGGGCTTCGGAAGGCATGGGCGATGGTTCGGCTGTTACAGACAGCTATTAGAGGGTTAACAAAACCCGGAAGGGCTTGGCCACGATGCACATTTTGCCAGTACGCCCCTGGATGGCGTTCCTGGTTATTAAAAAACTAACATATTTTGGGAACCAGCAGTTAGCATAATGGCTATGTCGCTGGACTCCCACGTAGTCGACCGCGGTTCGTGTCCCGGACCCGGTGGCTTAAAACTCACGCCGGGCGCGTGTGCGTGCGTGTCCAAAATCCCGAGAGGAGAATAGAGGAGAAGGGATTGCGGCGTGACCATCCCCCCTGGGGGGTGATTTCTTGCTTTCTGTCTCTGTGTCTCTCTCTGTCTGTCTGGCGAGCGCACGTGCCCTACAGTGAAAATCTCTCAAAAAAAAAAAAAAAAAACTAACATATTTCAAATCTGCTACCCTGGTAACAGTGTCACCTGCTATGACGGCTTCTCTCCCAAGACCTCACTCCCCCGCCCCCACTCATGCCCATGAACCTATGACTGAACAAGTAAGCTGGTCCAGCAAAGGCTATTGACTTAGGGAGTTAACCAGCCCAGGGACTTAGACTCACTGAGGCTCAGCGATCGAAAGGGTGAGTAAAGGCTTTCACCTCATCACAGCCCTAGGCCTGCTGAGGACAGTGTGTCCTGGGCGTCTATCCAAGAGTCACTGGGGGCCCAATACTACTATCCTCTGGGCTCCTCAGTACAGAGGAAAGAGAAGCAGGTAGAGAAATAAACTGAACGTCCCTGAGGTCTGAGATGCAGATAGAGGAAAGGGGAAACCCAGTAAACTACATGATGGTCCCTCACCTTGGCATGCCCCCGAGCGATCTGAAAGCTTTCTGGCTACTAGCTAGCTTTTGGAACAATTATATTAATTGCATGAAACTTTATTTCTATATTCAAAGTTATAAAATTGTCATGTAGCAGATGTTTTAATACACTGATAGAGAAATAGAAAATATCACCCTTTCCAACACCAAATACGACCTTAAAGTTCTCCTATCTGCACTCAAATATAATCAATGTTTGTGTAACAATGTGTAGTTCCCGAAACCCTAATCTCAACAGAGAACTACAACAGCTGAAACACAGCAACTCCAGTTTCATATACAAAGCCCATTTGACATGCTCTAGTACCAGGCATTTATTCTGGAAACTCAGTACAGATGTCAAAATCCTAAACAGATTTCTCCGAAGTAGCATGCAATTTCTCAGACCGCTCCCCACTTCCACCCATTTCACTAAGTTCCTCCTCTTAGAAAACCCAGGCTGCCACTCTTACATCTAGGATCCCAACATCCTGCTACGTCGCAGTAAGTTCTACTTTTTCTTACTCATTTAATTTCTTTGCATATCGAAACCTGGAGTTCAGTTACCCGAGAGACCACTGCATATTGCTAACACGGATGTGTAACATGAGCCTGAGGAAAAGGAAAGGCAACTGGGAAGAACATGGGAGAAGGGTGAGCGTGAAGCAGTCCCCGGGCACCAGAGCCGCAGAAACTTACCTTTGTTTCCCTACTATTAAAATAAACACCTCCACCTACGATAAGAAGTTAAATACCATTTTATGCAAGCAGGACCTGTTTTAGCACAACAGTAGCTGAAAACCGCCTGGCTTTCCTTTCCACGTTTTACAATAAAACTACTTGCGCTACACTGAAACTTTCTTTTCCGTAGGTCTAGTAAACACGATTCAGGGCCAGATAGCAATATGACCTCATCTTAGGTGGAAATTATTCTTACAATCCACTTTATAATAAACTGTCATAAGAGGTTTTTAAAAACTACTTACTCCAAGCTGAAGTCTGGACAGACAGCATGAAACTGCCGGCAGCTATTTCCTCATAGCCTAAACTTTGCTCCCTTCCTGGCTGCTTCTGGATCAGGTTCACACCGATCCGCGTTTACGCCACCCTGGAAGGTACCACCCAGCCGGCAAGGTGGGAGGGTTTGTTCATTTCACTCCTGCTTGATAACCGCTTATCAGCGACTTCGCAGAGGTCCAGTTAAGCATGTTTAAAAAAAATAAATGTAAGGAAGATTATAGGAAAGCCTGAAAAATCTCATAATCTCTGATGTCTGGGTTTTAGTTTCAGAGGGGATTTCTTTCCAGTATGTTCCTGGAAAAGGAAATTAAAAAAAAAAAAAAAAGGATAGTTTGCTGAGCTTCAAATATTTTGCTTTCTTCCTTTTATGAAAGGTCCCTTCCTCCTCAGAAGCTATACATCGTGCAAGTGTGGCAGAGAGGCCAGAAAGCTGCCCTTCCACTGCAGCCCTCCATCTCTCCACTCTCCTGGACTCTCACCCGTGAAAGAAACAACGAGGGGATCTTGGTAACAGTGCTTCCTAACCTTCAGCCATCTGCCGATCTAACGCAGTGACAACTTGGGTCGCCAATCCCATTCTTTGCAAGGTAAAATGTTATGCCGCTCCATCCCTTCCAGCATCACTAATCACTAAGCTTCTTTGCCTTGAGCTACTTGTGTACTTACGTACTCTATAAACATCTTATTCTCTCCCAGGAAGTTTTGAGGGTCATCTTCAATCCTTACTCCAGTTTTCCAAACACGATCTGACCCCTTTGCTATCCTGGTGAGACTCTGCAACATGCACCGTGGTAGGCAGAATAATCCCTCCCAGAACCTGTGAGCATGCTACTTTCGATGACAGAAGAGATTGTGTAGATGCGATTAAGCTTAAGGACCTTGGGGGGGAGATGATTCGGATGGGTCCAATCTAATCACATACACCTTTAAAAGCTGGGGAACTTTCCCAGCTGTGGTCAGAGAAATGCCATACGAGAACTTGATTAGGTCTTGCCGGTTTTAAAAGATGAAGGAAGAGGCTACAATCCGGGGAAGACGGGTGGTCTCTGGAAAAGGCAAGCAAATGGATTGTCCTCTGGAGCTTCCAAAGAGAGACTCAATCCTGGTGACACTTTGGTTTTAGTCTAGGGAGACCCATGCTGGACTCTGACCTACAGAACTATAAAATAATAGGTTTGGGGTTTTTTGTTTGTTTTGTTTTTAATAGATTTTTGCCTTATGGTATGAGCATTCGCCAGAGAGAGACAGACAATAAGAGGGAAAGTGAGGACTCAACCCCCAGGGAGGATGGCCATGCCGCAATCCCTCCTCTTCCATTCTCCTCCCAGGATCTTGGGGACACACACACCCATGTCCAGTGTGAGTTTCAAGACACCAGGTCCAGGACTCGAACCGTGGTTGACCATGTGGGAGTCCAGTGACATAACCAGTACACCACCTGCTGGCCCTAGATTTCTTTTCTTTTTTTTTTTTTTGCTATAGGGCACGTGTGTTCACTAGAGACAGACAGAAAGCAAGAAATCACCCCCCTCCCCAGGGGGGATGGCCAAGCTGCAATCACTTCTCCATTCTCCTCTTGGGATTTTGGGTACGCATGCACATGCACCTGGCATGAGTTTAAGCCACTGGGTCTGGGACTTAAACAGCGGTCGACCACATGGGAGTTCAGCGACATAGCCATTATGCCAACTGCTGGTCCTAAGATTTGAATTGGGTTTTTTTGGAGAGGTTTTTTGCTATAGGGCATGTGCCATATGCAGTGGTCTCTCGGGTAACAGAGAGAGAGAGACATAGAGACAGAAAGCGAGAAATCACCCCCAGGGGGGATGGTCACGCCGCAATCCCTTCTCCTCCATTCTCCTCTCAGGATCTTGGGCACGCATGCACACGTACCTGGCGTGAGTTTTAAGCCACCAGGTCCGGGACGCGAACCGCGGTCGACTACGTGGGAGTCCAGCGACATAGCCATTACGCTAACTGCTGGTTCCCGTAAAGTCAACTTTTGTTCACAGATAGGTATATATCAGCTGAATTTACTATTGAAAGTGTTTAGATTAATTAGGATATTTTGTGAATCAGTACAATGTGGGAAAGAATAAAGGAATGGAAGGTAACTGCAGATTCCAGAGTCACGGTGGGCATGCATGCACACGCACCCGGCGTGAGTTTTAAGCCACCGGGTCCGGGACGTGAACCGCAGTCGACTGCGTGGGAGTCCAGTGACATAGCCATTACGCTAACTGCTGGTTCCCGTGAGATTTGAATTGTTTTAAGCCAAAGTATCTGTGGAAAATTGTTATGGAAGCCAAAGAAAACTAATAGAGGTACTTTAATCTCAAAATGTCCCCTTTAAAACATAATACCCAGGACTAAATAGAACACTCCAAAAAGAAATGTATGAAACTATCAAATTTATTAATCCCAACACTACACTTTCATAAATGCAACTCAAGGTTGTTCTAGGTGTTCCATGCATTATATTCTAACTTAGTTGACTTTGAAATCTTTGTCAAGGGAGATACATCAAGCCTAGCACCCGACTCTATCCTCATTCTTCTTTCCCGTGTTGGGATCCAACACTCACAGGTTTCCTGAGTGTGTCCTGGCTCTGTTCCTTCCTCTCTGGGTGGTCTTACATAAATCCTCTAGCTCCCTGCGCTTCAGCTGCCTCACTTGTAAAATGGGCATGGCATTCCACTGGCCTGCAAGGGTTTTGAGGGTGAGCGATACAGTGCTGCAACGTGCTCAGACCTGTGCCCAGGACACCATGAGTGCTCAATAACCGTCAGCTGGTACTGTAGACGGGCACATTTTCTTCTGAGACCTAAGGAAGAGCCTGCGATTCGTGCCTGGACTCACGTGAAACGGCAATAATGAAGGAGAAAGCAGAAGCTCTAGGGCAGAGGTGGTCTGACGAATACGAGCCACTGCAGTGTTTGCAAAAATCCTGGGGATGTGGCAGGGGTTGGGGTTTCTGGTACATGTGGGAAGGGCTTGAGCTGATCCTAGCTGGGTTTTGTGGGGTAGGGCTCCCACTTTTCTCTGAAGTTGAAAGTGAGCACCTGCCCCCTGCCAGGTGCGGTTCTCCCAGGACTGACGTTCTAGGGCATTTCAGGGGGACGAGTGTTGTGATGCTAGCAGACCAGAGGTGCTGGAGGGACTCCAGATCCGGCACTCACTAAAGAGGGGAATGTCTGAGCTGAGAGACAAAGCAGCAGCAGGTATGAACTAAGTAAAAGGAACAGTGTCTCAGGCAAAGGAACAGCCAGCGTAAAGGTTAGGAGGCAAGAATGAGCTTGGCTTGCTCAAAAGCCAGGAGGAAGGTGGCCAGTGTGGCTGAAGCAGAGACTAAGGACCAGATTTGAGGTCCAAAAGGTAGGCAGGGGCTCCGTTCCCAGGGGGAGTGTTTGGATTTGATGCACTGAGATGCCACGGGTGTTTTCAGCAGCCAAAGGACAGACTGACTGACATGAATGCATGATCTGGCAGAAAGCTGACCCACCCCACAGCCCTGCATTGAGTTCCATAAGCCCCTTCACAACCAGCCTGACCCAGGACAAGCCTTCCTTACCCTTCAAGCGCTTAGTCCCACCACCCCCGTTCATCCCCTGAAACCAAACCTGCAGCTGGAGGTAGCCCGAGCTGAGGCAGGAGTCTGTGAGGGCGGGAGGGCGCAAGACCAGGCAAATGAAAGCTGCAAGTTCCCCTCTGTGAAGGCCTGAACGGTGCCCCCAGAACACCCATGTCAGATCTCTAGAACCTGAGTGCGTCCATACTTGGGGAAAAGTCTTGGCTGGTGTGATTAAACGAGGGATGCAAAATGAAACTCCGGCTTACTAGGTGCGCCCTAGATGTGACAACATGTCCTTATAAGAGAACCCCCCCACCCCATTCTCTTCTCAACTAATTTTGGAGCTAAAACATAGGGTTTTACATTCAACCCTCTTAAATTTACCTTACTGGCTTTAGTCATCCTTCCAAACTGTTAGGATCATTTGGAACAATACCTCTGTCCTCTGTCACACAAAGGAGCCTTTTCAGTCGAACACCTCTGCATTATTCCCATCATTTCAGTCCACTTGCTGGTAAGTGGACACTGAACGGTCAGGTCCAAGAACGAGTTCTGGGCCCAGTCAAGCGCACCGCAGTTGTGCACTGCTCTGCAGTGCTGGGGGCAGACCTGTACGTGCCGGGCCCGCACGCATACCCAGGATCCTGGCTGGAGGTGGGAGGAGTGAATGTGGTGTGAGGCCTTATTGAGGGTGTTTGTCTCTTTCTCTCTCATGAAATAAACTAAAACAAACAAAACAAAACAACAACAACCAAAAAAAACCAGTTCTGAAATTTGTTATCAGAGACCTTCAGTTTAACAACAGATCTAGGATTCAATATTGGGCACACATGTTCAATTAGCTAAAAACTACCTATAGCTTACTTTTTTTGTTCTTTTTTTAAGCTCTTCAAAGGAGAATAAAATGCCCTAATAAAGATATGTCGATAGCACAATGATCTACTAGAACTCTACTGGAAATGAGGATATAATTTGTGCATTTTTTAAAAAAAATATAATTTGGTGCTAGCTCCTGGTGATTATCATTTCCTTTTTTAAGAGCTTGCAAACTATCAGTTGATTATTTATTTTTAAAGTTTCCTTAAGGTTAAAAGGAAGTTTTACCCAACTGTAGGAAGCGGCACTGATCTCTGTCTCAAGAGCAGAGACGAGTGGAGAAGAAAGGAAAGAGAACACTACAAGAATGTGTGGAGGAAGGAGTGAGCGCGTGTGCCTGGGGAGGAGAGAAGCCAGTCAGAGCAGTGGCGGTTGCTGAGAAGTTCTGGCAAACTGGGGGTGACCACGATGCAGAAGGCGACTGGCAGAATCTAAAGAGCAAATGGCCAATCAAATTATGAATCCTGAACATTCACAAACATAAAATAGTGTAAGTATACAATTATTCATGGCAGCACTGTTTGCAGAACATGTGGATCAGGAGGGAATTGGTAAATTAAGTTGCAGTACAGGTATCTAAAAGGGGCTGGGGTTAAAAGCAACTTTGTTACTGATGAAGCATCGGCCAGAGTGGCACAGCAGTAAAGTAACACCCTCCAATGCTGAGACCACAGGACAGGTCTCCCTGCACATGCTGGGCAGCCGTGCATGCCCATGATCCCGGCTGGCGGAGGACCGTGACATAAAGGCCCTGTTGGAAGTGTCTGTCTCTGACTTTCTCTCTCTCCTAGAAGAAATAAGGAAAAAAAGAATGATTAAAATATGTTTAAAAAAAAAGGCAAGGTACGTATTAGTACATTTATAATTATCTCTGTGTGAGAGACAGAGAATCTCTCTGGAAAGATATCAAGAAACCAGAAACAGTGCTTCTCTAGGACAGGGATGAGGCTGCTGGGGATCAGAAGTGGAACAGAGACATGGGTATCTTTCTGCCCTTTTTGAATTTTACCAAAAGCTAGACCTACTTAAAAATAGATTTAGAAAAAGCAATGTGGGATACTGGACTGGATACTGGAATAGAATAACCTGGGCCAGCTTGTGGCCTGGGAGTTAAGGGAGTGGATACCACACAGTCAACCATGTAGTTCAAGTCCTGGATCCAGTAGTTTGAGAAACATGGCAGGCATGTGTGTGTGCACATCCGAAAATTCTGAAAGAAAGAAGAACTGGAGAATGGATTGCAGCATGACATTCTCCATTGGGGCGGGGGCTTTCTCACTTTTTCCTTGAGCCCTTCCCGCCCCCCCTTCTCCCATGTGTATATGTGTGTGTGTCTCTCTTCGGTGAGTGTACATGCCCTCTGCCAAAATTTTAAAAAAATAAATGAGAAAAACTACTGTAGTGGAAAAACTGGTGAAAACCAAATAAAGTTTTGATTTTAACATATAGTTACCTATTGATGTTAATTTGTCGATTTTGACAAGTGATCCATGGTTATACAAGATGTTAACTTATATGTGTTTCACCCAGGAAAAATTGGGTGAAAGTTTTGTGAAAACTTTAAGTACTGTCTCACTGCAAAATTTTAAATTCTACAAACAAAAAAGTTGACTAAAATAAAAAAGACATTTTAAAAGTTATTAGGACAAGAACAGGCAAGATGGCTTGGAAAGAGGAAAGACTAGAACTAACAATGCCAGATAGGAAGCTGGGAGTAATCCTGGCCAGAGGTGAAAAGGGCCTACATTAGGATAAAGATCATGAAAACAATCAGATGTAGGATACATTTCAAGAGCATAAAAATAAAAATATTGCAATAGTAGAGAGAAAGCAGAACAGTGATACCAGGGACCAAGAGAAAACTAGAGAGGAAGAAGAATGAGAGTCATCTCTTCGTTCACGTAACCAGTGTCTGCTGGTACCCTCTGTGGCAGGTGCCGTGCCAGACTCTGGGGGTGCCTGTGTGAGTCTGTCAATGCCAAGTGTGACGCGACCCTAAAGGTCCTAGCTGAACTGTTCAAAAGGCATCTGGATATTGAAGAGAGCGTTCAAGTGAGAGAACAGACCGAGACATTTGAGAAAGGTAACAGAGGAAGGAGAGGCTGGAAGTGAGCCAGGGGACATAAAAATGGGAAGGGAGCAGGAGCAAAGACGACAGGAGAGGAAGGCGAAGGGCTGGCAGGGTAGTGCACTTCCCAGAGACCAAGAAAGAGGGAGGTCTAAGAAGAGTTTCACTAAGAAGAGTTTCACTGCAGAAACAAGGACGTACAGACCACCGGACGGCTGGCTGGAGGCCGAACGGGAGATCACAACAGGACACTTGAGCGACCTTTCACTTTCAGTGGGGCCTTCATGGAACCCACAATACAGAAGGCAACGTTTTCTTACGAGAATGCACGTCTGATCTCCAGAACTTTGGAAAACAGGATTCCATGAATTACCATGATTCTCAAACTGGGGTATTCGAAGCCACAGGATAGATGTGTATTTAGTACCTACTTTGGGCTGGCATGGGAACCTGGTGATGAAGGGAGCTGGATCCCACAGTTTAAACAGTTTGAAACCCTGTCCCAGTGCTTGAAAACATTGTCAGGTACACAGACACGCGCGCCCCAAACCCTGACGCGATGAAGACATGAAGGAAAAGGGACTGCAATACAGCCTCGCTCCACTGGGGGTTGATTCCTCCCTCTTCCTCTCTCTCTAGCTCTCTGGTTAGCGCATGTGCCCTCTGGTAATAAAAAAAAAGCACATATATCTTATCAGCTTTCTGAAACAGAGAAAAGGATGTAAAATTTACAGGGATTTTTAAAACAAACTCTGAAATTTCAATCATATCAATAGAATGTCTTTCTAGAGGGCCACCTTCCTATTTCTAGGGCTTCGCATTCACATCTGAGAAGTTTTTATATGAGATAATGGTCAGCTATGCTGAAATGTGTGCTTGTATTAAAATTCAAGATACTTGGGGCCAGCAGGTGGTGCGGCAGTTAAAGAGTTCAAATCCCAGAACTGGTGGCTTGCTTTCTCACTTTCTCTCTCTCACTCTTGCTCTCTGGTTAAATTAATATGAAATAAGTGAATAAATAGAGTCAAATAAAATAATTCTAAAAAATAAATAAAATTTAAGATAATTTTAAGAACTTTATCAACCATGGCCTTAAGTGGCAAATTATAATAAATATTTAACACTCGATATTTGTGTGTGCATGTATATATACACATAGACACATATATGCATATATACAGTCACATACTATAGGTGTGAATACAAGACTTGGTGACTGCGCTTCAGATTCTTACTTACTGAAAACAACTAAAACCCTGACTTACGCACAAAGTATAGTACACAAGGAAACTGGAAATGTGTTTTTCATCTGTAATTCTCTGCCACGTATGAAAATACTTCAGTTGAGATTGTCATAAACCAGGCTACACAAGGACTTGAAAGCCCGACTCTGATATTTCCCATCTAATTTTAAACAGCTTCAGTCTGCAAGCCACCGGCAATACTCCCACCCTGTAAAGAGTTTGGAATCTTCTGTGTGAGAAAGCATTGGAGCAGTGACTGTAAATCATGTACCGGAGCCTCTTGAAAATGTCATGGGAAAACTACGCTGGTGATTTTTCTAAAATTGATTGTCTTATCTGGTGTCATTTGAACAGAGAGAAGTCAATATCATCATTCATTTAGCTAATGTAATTCTCATAATTAAAGATCTTTACTGTTCAAAAAATTTTTTTAAAGAATAATCAAGCCAGCTTCTTTTCAGAATGTTTGGGTTTAGAAACTCGAAGTTACTTACTTAGCAAAAAGCTTCCATTGCACCATCTTGTATTCGTCATCTGAAAGTCTCTCTTAGGGATAAGAAACAAAAAGCTAATGCAATACTGAACCTGGAAGGCAGAATTACAGCGCGCATAAGTAATTCATTCAGCCAGGCTGTGGCCTTCACAACCAGTGACAACTGCGGGAGCCTGCTGCCAATTCTTACCATAGCCTAGTGCCTGCAACTCTCTAGCGTCACGTTTCCGAGGAGTCTTGACATCACTGTGTTTTAAGAAACCAGAACTGAATTGATATCTAGGGAATCATAAAACGGTTTCTTTTCCTACTTGCCCTTCATAATTCCAAGGTTGGTAGAATTCTCAATGTTTCCCTTTACGTTTTAAATACATATTTAGGGAATGTGAATTGACACAAGCACTCTGGATGTCAGTGCAGTGGAGTAATTAATACCACCATGCAATTTGGAATGACCTAGCAGGACCGAAGTGCATGTGCCAACACCCAGCAAACTCTCGGTACCTGCCTTAGCAGAGCTCCCCAGAGGGTGCTGAGGCATTCTAGTGTGCAGTGACGGGTCCAGGTACACCCACACATGGCCCTCAGCTGTGCAGCGAGGCAGATGCTCCCAGGCCAGGGACACGGCTTCATTTGTGTAACCCAATGCGTTGTACAGATCTCGTCTGTCACTTTCTATGTATGCCACGGAATGGAAAGGGTTGGGAAACATTAATACAGATGTTACTGCACATGTGCAGTGCATACATATACAGGAAGAGATATATGAGCAGTGTTCATAGTAAGTGGAAACTGAAGCAGTCCAGATGTCCACCGATCAACTCACCTGCTAATAAATCCTAGAATACTCATCATGCAATATGCTACAGCACTGACAACTAATAAGCAATAGATATACGCACCGACATTGATAATCCTAAGGCTGTAATGCTGAGTTTAAAAAGCATGTCCTAGACAAGGACATAGAATATGATCCCATTTTTATAAAGTTCATAAACATTCACAACTAATCAATATACTGTTGAGGAATAGAAATATATGTTATAATGGGGACCAGCAGGTGGTGTGATGGTTGAGGCGCTGGACATTCCCACGTGGCTGACCATGGTTCGAGTCCCGGACCTGGCGGCTTGCTTTCTCACTTTGTTTCTCTCTCTCTGTGTCTCTCTCTCTGATCAAATTAAAAAATAAATGAATAAATAATTAAGATTAAATAAACAATGATTTAAAAAATAAATTAAAAAAGAAATTTATGTTATAAAACCACTGAAAAAAACAAGAGAATTATTCGCACAAAAAGGAAGGTAAGTGCGGGTCAGAGAGGAGCACAGAGAGATCAGAGGTAACGGTAATACTGCCTTCCTGAACTGGCTACAGGTACACACATGTCCTCCTAACGTTATCATAAGCTTCATACGTATTTTATAACTATTTCCTATCTAACCAATATCACCCAACATCTTTAAAAAGCTCCTCTTTGCCCAAAGGTAGATAGCGAGTATTCTGCCATCTCTACAGTGGTCCCAGAACAGGAGAGACAGGAAGTACCAAATAATACAGGACCTCTGACAGAAGCCGGGCAAACTCGCACACAGCTCCGACAGCAAGGATCTGAAATTCCATTCAGTTCACTCTTATTTTATAAGGCACCATGTGTGCCACCGTGAACCTTAGATAAAATATCAGTTTAAAGATGTGGGACTAAATAAACTGCCAGCCTGGGGATGATAGCTGCTCTGGGTATTTTCTCAAGTCAGTATTTCATTGTGTATTTAGATCGCACACGAGACGTTTACAGAATGACAATACTCCAAGTCATCATGTAACTCCAGTAATATTTGCCTAGTCAGTGTCATGTAAGGGCAAGTTTATACAGCTTCAATGATATAACTGTCAAGGAAAACACTTCCCAAACACTCAAGGAATTCCTGCCAGGATTCTGTCTACTTTACGGGAGAGGCAGTGGGAAGCCATCTTCCT